TGAAAAAAAAAAAAAGAAAAAAAAAAAGAAAAAAAGAAAGAAAGAAAAGAGAAGGCAACACAAAAATTATAAGTGGAGGACTAACCTGGAAGTCGAGGTAATAAGCATGCTGCGAAAGGGAATTGAAAAGAGCAAGAAGAATAAATGATTCAGTATATACACCGGTCATTCCCCAGGTTTTATGATAAATTACTAACCAATAATGTTATGATAACAAATAATAATAAACTCATGGTTCCATCTGTTTAGCTTTTACTACAGAACTCAGCTATCTTTCAAGTTACGAGTATCGTACTTATTGTTTCTATTCCCCAAATTGCAGTCAAAGTAAATACAAACTTCAAGAGCACATATGTAAATCTGAAAGTAAATTGATTACCTAATCCTCTAAAGCCAATATGTGTGATTTACCCAAAGACTTTTCCAGTTTACTTATTCTGTATTTTCTTCTTACTGGTAAAAACAACGACGATATAAATAAGAGTAATTTCAACGGCTTACCTCCCAAACATCAATCGTAAGAAGTGGCTGCAACAACAGAAGCAAACAGAGAAGACAAATAGTTTCAGGTGAAGGAAAATCACTAGAAACAATTAAAGAAAAAAGGATTAATAGCACAATAAACCTTTGATATACAATCAACATGACGCCCGATTTTCCAACCAACAGGATAAGAACGAATTTGAAGACTTTGAAAGGAAAACAAAGGAAAAAGAGGACAGAAAAGGTTGTTAATTGTTATACTCACAGAATAATCCCAGATAATAGGGTTTACAGCATTTGGGCTCTTAACCACCACAAGCTTCTTGTCCTCGTCAGATGGAAGTGGATTCACGGCATTTCCAACATCAAGTCTATTTGCTTTGTCTGTACATTGAAAGGATTAATCAGGTAGACTAATCTCTCTTTTCAGTATCAGTGGGAAAAAAAAAAAATGACAGATGTACATGGGTTTTAAAAAAAATGGATAAGAAGTTTTTCTTTAGTGCTTACATACGAGCCAAGCCCAACCAGAACCAAATTGAGTAGCTGCGACTGCCTTGAATTCGTTCACAAAAGCTTCAAAAGAACCAAAGTCTCTGTTTATCAATTTTAGAAGTTCTCCCGATGGCTTGCCTCCACCACCCGGTTTCATGGACTCCCAGAAGAACTCGTGATTCCAGACCTAACGATATATAAAAAAGAATATATATATTAGAGAAACAAAAATATTTCTTCATGAACGAAATGCGAAAGAATGCTCTATCAACATAAAGAATGCGTGACGTATAATAATTCTCTATATTCCTCCCAAAGAAAAGGAACTATGCTCCATAGCCGATAATAAAATCACTTCCCAGGTCTCGTTTGACAATTCGGTTTAAACCAAGTCAAATGGGCTTGAATTGAACAAAACTTTTTCTCTTTACCAAAGTCTTAGACAACTACCTAAAGAGATTATTAACTGAGTGAACCTAAAAGCAAGTGAAAATTCCTTGAATTTCTCCTAAAATGTAACAGCGTGTATAGAGAAGTTAAATGTTGTATTCTTTATACCTGTGCAGCATTGTTGAAGGGCGGGAGGAAATCACCCTTGTTATACGTAAGAAGCACAATTTCCTCTAATGACTTCATATCCAGTTCCGTACCAACTATTTGCGCGTTGAGGTTATCGACATAAGCCCTGTGATGCTTTCCCCAATGGTATTCAAATGTTTCACGGCTCATATGAGGTTCCAAAGCATCCTACATCCTCAGTGAGAAAAAAATTACAAAACATGCTGAGCAGCAATTACCAAATGAAGAAGCAACAATCTTCATCACTTACAAGTGAGTATGGCGGAGGCTTATGATCGATTGTGGCAGTTGTTACACCTCTATAAACTCTCCTTGCGCTCGATTTCTGTGAACATTTAGAAAGCCACATATAAAAACACCATTTTGTATTAATTTGTGTAAGAACGAAGAAATCACATGAAGATTTTTTAGCCATTTTTATAAATAAAACATCTTTTTATCCACTTTTTCATGAAAATCTTTTTTAGTAATTTCCTGAGGACTGTTATCTCTCGACGTGAAATGATCATTTCGTGTCGAATTTGTCGTTAAATGGTCATTACAATTTCGTCGGGAAATGGTTCAAAAATANNNNAATATAACTAAAAGAAGGGGCAGACAAGCCTATTTTGGCCCATTTGCACATAAAGAAACCACCTTTCCTGCAACAAGCCAGAGAATTAAAAGTTAAATAACAGAGGGAAAAAGAAAACAGTCCGTTAAGTCATTTTGTCAAACACCTTGACGACACTGAAATAAATGGTGTGTCTGCCTAGCAAAAATCGACCATTTAATAACGAAAGAAACTCTGTTCCACTAGGAAGAACGAAAACGACCCGCCAGCTGAACGAGGAATACACAGAAGAAGCACACACACCTCATTCTTCCTACAATGGAGGCTGCTAGTCGACCCAGAAAATGCTGCAACGACATTGTTAACAACCAACAAACAGATATATATCAGTCGGTACACATTGCTACAAAGAATTAAGTGGGTCATGTTGTGTTTACTTATAATTAAGGAAAGCACAGGAAAAGAAAGGACCTTTGGTGGAAAGGAAACCGTATTTCAAAAAACTTGTAATGGCTGCTGGTGCCGTAGACGTAGCCATAACCTATCTCCAAGAAAGCTTTGGTGAAGTAAAAGAGTGAACTTTGGGCATGTGGAGTGGAGTGGTCTTTTGGGCGTGTGCCGTTTAGATATTCCGTTAATTTGGTGTGTTTACATGTAGACGAACGTGTCCCTGCAAAAACTCGTAATTCGCATGCACGAGTTGAAGCCCATTGGGCCTCCAATTGCCCCCAACAACTCATATGTCATAGCGTTATTATGGGTTCGAGAACCGGGCTTCACCAAGTAATTTTCTCATGAAAATTTACATGACAAATTTATTTTCATTTTTAGATCTATAAAATTTCTTTAGTGCAAGTATATTAATTTATATTGTTTATGAATGAATGGTTGGTAATTTATTTCTATATTTGAATTCTAAATAGTATATTTTTTGTTCATAACTCGTTTATGAATAATTTACATATGATTCTATTTTGTATGACGTACTTGCAAATTTTTTAAAATGGTAGTAAAATTGCAAAAGTAACTCATATAAAATGTACAAGTTATATGCATTATACAAGGGAAATACCAAAAGTGGAATCAGATTTAGTTCGCATACAATTTGAAGAAAAAGGAATAATAATTAAAACACACACACACACACACATAACTATCACGGAAAGGAGGCGTCTGTTTGCATGAACTATGAAGAGTTGCATCAATCTTTTCTCCAAAACGGTGCCACCTCATTTTCTTCCCCTCCTTCCGTTATATATTACACTCTTCCACAACGGCCCCAACCACCCCAAAAATGAACTCCGGCAAGAGAAAAATGAAGGAAGTTGTCGGCAGAGCTTCAGCAGAGCAACAGCCGCCGGCAGAAAACCATCAATTTGAGTTGTTCGGTAATGTCCAAGGCGGCAGCCGCCACCACTCTGCACCTCCGAGCAACCCTCCGGCGGGCTGCCGCCAGTCACAGGTTCGGCAGATACTCAACTCTGCCGCCGCCCGGCCATCCAAACCCTTCTCCTTTACATCATTGTTAGTGGCCAACGATGAGGATGACGTGGACCCACTCACCGCCGAGATCCAAAGCCAGAGCGAACAAGTCAATCAAATTATCTTACTCCATGTATATCAGTTTTCCACCACTTCTTAGTTATAATGAAGTTGATTGATATATATATATTTTTTTTTTTCTCACAGTGACACAAGAAATCAAAAACTATGTGGGTTTTTTTTATTTTTTACTCCATTGCAGACTGATATCCTCAGGCAGGCCCTCGGGGGCGTACTGGAGAAGCAGCATCGGGCCATCCATCGGGCCGCGGACGAGCGGGCCCAACAGAAGCTCAAGCAAAAAGAAGTCGAGCTGCAAATAAAGTCAGCCCAGAACATAGAGCTGGCAAGGAAGGCCGAGCATTACAGAAAAGAGGTCGAGCACTTGCGGGCCATGGTGGAGCACTTGGAGCAGGCCACCACGAACCTCAAGGCCCACTGGCACGGGGACAAGGCCCATGAGGACACAAACTCGTCCACTAATGTAGACTCGGACAATGGGCTAAGGCCCGTTAGGATCGACTGTTGGGCCTGCAGCAGGCAACGGGCCACGGTGATGATGTTGCCGTGCCGCCACGTGTGCGTATGCTCGATGTGCGAGGGGACAGCGAGGACTTGCCCCGTTTGCCGCACGCTGAAGAGGACAAGCTTAGAGGTCATTTTTCCGGTCGACTGAAGGGGGAAAGACTGCAATTTTTATGATTAATTATCCTAGAACTTGATTAATTCTCGACTTGGATTGTGATTGTGATTGTGTTTGCTTTCTTTCTCTCTATTGTTTTTGGGTTAATCATATGCATCGAACCACTCTGATGCGAAGTTTTTGAATTACAGAATGTGTAGCCGATTTAAGTCTCCGGTAATATATCAAGTTTTTTTTTTTTTCTTTTCTTTTTTTATTATTTGTTTCCAATTTTTTCTGGGTTGTTTTGTAAACAAAAGGCAGCATTGATGATGGGGGTAAAAGTAAATGAAGAAAGCATGTTCCCAAAATATGATTACAAAAAGATATCAGGAGCAGGTCATGAGAAAAATGTTAAAAATCATGCCATATAATCACAATTAGATTTGAAGCTTGCAAAATCGTCCGGGAATATCCCACACGAATGGTACACAGTGTTTTATACATTTGTTGTTGAAAATGCTACAAAAAGTACCACAACTTCTTTTCCATGGCATTGAGTGTAGTAGCACAAAGGATAAAACAAACAATTACCAGATTTTATGCCCAAACTCTTTGTCTAGGCTGTAGATCTGATACTTTTATCTCGTCGATTTTAGCTGCCACAATGAAGTCGTTCAAGCTCAACCCACCTACGTTGAACAATAAAAAACTTAGCTTTATCACACTTTGATTTAACACCAGCAGACTATGAAAAACATAGCAATCTCTTAACATAAAAGCCTAAAAAGGTGCAAAATTGGATATCCATATTTAACCTAGCCAACTCCACCGCTACTCTAGCTTATGCTGAATGAAAGAAAAATCAAGAAAAGTCGAAAAAACATATTAACCATTTGCTTACCAATTGAGGATGTCCACAATACAGCCCGAACTTGATTGGGTGCCTCCAAATGAAGAGTCGGAAGATGGCCCGTATGCTCCACAGCCTTTATTATCCTATTTAAAAGTTCTTCCCCACATTTAGTATCTCTAACTTTCCACACACCTTGCAGCTGTAGACTGCCTTCTTCATTTACAAGTCTCCAGCCTACAACCTGCACAATGTAAATTTGCATATTAAATGAGTCTCTGAATAAAATGCAAAAGTGTCGTATTTGCTCGTAAAGGATTAGAAAGAGGAATCGATTTTCAAAGATGATCCCTAAAAATGCATCCAATTTTAACAAACTAACATGCAATTTCAGCCTTGCCAGTATAAGGTGTGACATATTTCATTACACGAGAGATATATAAGTATTCTATATATAGCTCTTATGGTCCCGCAACAACGGACTTGTAACCAATTTGAACTATCCTTGATGCTAACCCTGAATGCCTGTTCCAATATTTCACCATTCATGAACCAAACCAAAGCTGCACAAAATCAAGACTTTCAGGTCAAAAACTGCATAAAAAATTGCAAATTACAGTTCCAGAATTACACATACTAAATCCACCTGAGATATGCCACATCTTCTAAATCAACAAAGCCAATGCGACTGAAATTCAGAATTGTACAAAATATGTACTTAATTCGGTAAGACATTCATAGTTTTTTGCATTCTTTCAAACTTAAATGTCACACTCTGAAAAAAAGAAAAAACATACACAAAAGCATGACATTTCATAATATGTGCATACATTTTTATTCTGCCTCACACGATAGTTTGTTTAACTTATGTAAATGAAAATAAAAAAATAAAAATAAAAAAAAAAAAAGAAAATTGTAGCGCGATGAATAGTGTCGGCTATATGTAGCGCGATACTGTTCATATTTTCAGAGTAGTGCAAAAATGAAGTGCAATATTGGAGGTGAATTTCGAGCTGAAGAAAAACCTTGAACATAAGCTTTTTGGCATCGTCCTCGGACATGGGCTGCTGAAGCTGGGAAATCGGGGCGCACTCCTGCTGCGCCAGCGACAGCGCCGACGCAATTGGGATCAAAATCTTGTGCTCGGTGCTCACATTCCCCAACACCTTATCCGCGAAATTGCTCTCGATCTCGGCCGGAAAAGGGTCCCGCGCCCCAAAATCGCCAATCAAGTCCTCCGCTGCAGCTCGAATCTGCAGCGAACGACGTCGTACGGTTCTCAGGTTGAGGAAGCCTCGGGCCGCGCAGGATGAGGTTCTAGAGAGAGAAAGTAGGGGAGAGAAAGTGAAGTGTGGCGAACAGGAAGCCATGGAGAGAGCAGGAAGTTGCCGAATGCGAGTGTGCTTGGTGGATTAATGGATGCTGTTCTCTATCCAGTGGTTGTCTGGTTGATAAAAACGGTTCGATTGGTCCGGTCCAGTTACCGGTTCTGGGTACCAGCGGCTCACTAATTTTTAGCCACTGGTTCGTTGTCAGTGGGCCTGAGGTTTGGGCCCTACTAAATCGGCCTTTTTCAACTCTTATCTATACTAATATACAAAGATGGTTCAAAAAATACATAAATAGTAACTTTTGACTTTTTAATTAAATGGTTGGCCTTCTTTCTAAGGAAATATTGTAAAAATAATTTTGATTTTTAAGAAATCGTGTGAAACACGATATCAGATGTCCAATTTGAAGTATTAAGCATTCAACCATTGATATTTTTAATACAAGATTTTTACATTTTAGATTCTATCATTTCAAATATCTACCATTTTCAAAGTAAATCATGTTTTCAAAATTTTATGCTTCCAAAATTAAATTTTCAAAAAATAAAATAATAAAAATACGAGACATTATTTTATGCAATACTATAATACAACAGGTATCACCTATAATTCAGATTATTATTTCATAATTTTTATGCCCAAATATTTTTGCATTCTATTTAAATTTTGTATAAATTTTTTTCCTAAAATTTTATGTATTGCGGTAGATCTTTAAATCCAAATTAGGTAAAGAGATAATCATGAACATATATTTTCATTAATCTATTACTATAAAATAGCAATATGAACAAAATAATATTTGAGTATTATGATGAACTAAAATATGTAAAATTGTTTTTTTTTTTGTATTAAAAAATAAATATATGTTAAAATATTATTTATAAACATAAACGGGTTAACAGACTGATATATGTTAAAATTAAGTTCTAAAAAAATATTCTAAAGTACGAATCTTCTGTGCATCGTATGGGATTCTCACTAGTCATCATTAAAGCATTAGTTGAAAAAAGAAAGAGGAAAACGGGAAATTACACACACATTTTTTGAAACTTGGAAGA